TTTGAGAGATTTTCACTGTAGGGCACATGCACTCGCCAGACAGACAGAGAGAGACATAGAGACAGAAAGTGAGAAATCACCCCCCAGGGGGGATGGTCACGCCGCAATCCCTTCTCCTCCATTCTCCTCTCGGGATCTTGGGCACGCACGCGCATGCGTCCGGCGTGAGTTTTAAGCACCGGGTCCGGGACGTGAACCGCGGTCGACTACGTGGGAGTCCAGCGACATAGCCATTACGCTAACTGCTGGTCCCCCGATATGGATGACTCTTGAGATGTTGTGCTGCAGCAAGGAGGAGTTAGAGAAGTGTGGGTTCAAGTGAGGGTTTTGTTTTTTTGAGGTGTTTTTCTGCTGATGGAAGGAATCCAGTAGAGAGGGAGACTGATGTAGGAGAAAAGAGAAACCCTGGAATCGAGTTCCTGAGCAGGCAAAGGCTGGAACCTCCAGCCAGTCTCTGGAGAGAGGCTGGATTGGACTGACAACTGGCATAGAGCCAGGGGTGAGCTCTGACACTGGCTTTGAACGATCACTTGCAAGATGACTCAGACAGGGGACAGGCCAGGGATGGGCTTGGATTTGCTGAAGTTTCCTGCCCCCCAGAAGCAGGTTCTAATTTGGATTGGAAAAGATGGCCCAGAGGAGAGAGAGGATTCCAGGCGGGGACTAGCAGAAGCAAAGGGGCACTCAGACACAAATGACAGAGGCCAGATGGACTCGAGGAAGTGGGTGAGGCCAGGTGGGAGAGTGGGGGTGGGACTGAGAAGATGCCCTCCGCAGGAGGCAGCCCCATCATTTATCCAGACAGAAGAGGCTTTACTGCCCCAGCTCCCAGAATGGATGAATGTGGACTGAGCCCAGAGATGGGAATAGGGGCTCAGCCCTGCCCTCCAGAGCTCAGAGCTGAGGGGCATAGTGACCACCATCTAGGTGTCTATATAACACTTTTCCTTGGGGCCAGCAGGTGGCGTGGTGTTTAAGGAGCTAGATTTTCACATGGGACACCGTGGTTTGAGGCCTGGACCCGGTGGCTTGAAAATCACACAAGGTGTATGTGCAGGCATGCCTAAAGTCCTGAAAGGAGAATGGAGAAGGGATTGCAGTGTGGCCAGACCCCCTGGGAAGTGATTTCTCACTTTCCTTTTCACTGTCTGGCAGAGAACGTGAGTGCCCTCTGGCAAGAACCTTAAAACAAAACTAAACTCTTCCTCTACTTACCCTCCAGGGCAGGCTAGAGTGAACTCGCTGGAGGGAATGGATGCTAGGATGGGGGTGGGAGGCAGCCACCCAGACCCTTGGAATGAGATGCCAGGCCCAGCTGGGGCCCAGCCCAGAGCATAGGGCCT